AAAACCCCAAAACCCCAAAACCCCGTGTTAGCTGAGTGTGTCTTATGTAAAAAAGTTATAATTTTTAAATAATAATCAATATTTTGTATTATATCAAAGAATAAATGAGTTAGGCAGATTAAGATGAAGAATTTAACGATAAACTAATGAATACAGTCATTAAATAGTATAATTATGAGCAGTGGCTCAAGCAACAATACACATAAAGGTATCCTTTTTAATTTAAATAAAACTCTCTATTAATGCTTTTTATATATAGCATAAAATATCAGTAATATGTGAGAACTTCTTCTCTTGATTATGATCCAAATAAACTAGACATGGAAAAAGTTTCTAGAGAGTTATATAAACTTTCATAAGAAAAGTATCCCTAGTTAAAAAATATTATCGTCCCTGAAAAAAAGCTAGTTGTTATGATATTAGGGAACCATTCTGCTGGAAAAAGTTCATTCATCAACTGGTACGTAGAATAGCCAGATCTATAGAAAACGAAGGTGTCTATAGAGACAATAGAGATAAATTTAATCATGCAAGGCAACTCGTAGTAAGAGTTTAATGGTATGAACGCAATGCAGATGCTACCTTTCCTTCGAGATTTATATGATGTAGATTCTAAAAAGGAGAAGTTTCCAGGACTATTAGAGAATCTATTTCTAAAGTCTTCAAATTCTGATGCCAAAGATTTTAAGAATATAGTGTTTATAGACACACCAGGTTTAGCTGATGGAAATCTAAAATACAAATTTGATGTAGAGTAGGTCTTCGAATGGATAGCCGCACATTGTGATGTAATCTTAACATTTTTCGATCCATAGGGATAGGCGCTTTGCAAAAGGACTATGAATATGATTCAACAACTTTATAAGAATCATTAATCGAAGCTTTAATTTATAATGACTAAAGGTGACATGTTTGACTCTGATGATGATAGATTGAAATGTATGTGCCAAATCACTTAGAGTCTCTCTACTATTATTCCACCAATGCATGGGTTTTAAATGCCAATAATATCTCTACCTACACCTCATACCAGATATCAAGGATTCTCAAATCAAAATAATAATAATAAACTATCCTAGATAAATCAGATTGATGATATAGTTTAACTATTTAGGAAGAAATATTAAGTAAAAGGCTAGTCAATAATGTCTAAGTTTAATGAAGACATTAAGATAATAAATGAGGTGACATAGAAGATGAAAAATGAGCAAAAGAGTATCTAGAGCAATAAGAAACCAATTTAACTGATCAATTAGGGTCTAAACTATCTCCTCAAAGTGTGCATAGGATTTATGATGATTTCGCTGATTGACATATTCTCTCATACTTTTATTTCTGAGTAATAACCAAATTTGTATAATTATCTGTAGGTCCTATGATTTGATAAAGGCAGAAAAATCATTGTTTCACTTTCTAATGAAGAATGTGATGGGGATAGCAGTCTGTTTGAATTGGTTCTCAGAGAAATTAGCAATACATCAAAACAATTTTAACGTATTTTTTATAACTCTGATCTTAGCTCCGTTGCTATTTACTGCTTCAAAAGTAATTATTATAGTATTTTAAGTCAATTCTATTAGAAAATCCCTTAGAAATATTTGAATGATTCCGAATCTACATTAAAGTTGATTGAAAATTATCACTACTTCATCATGTAGATAGACAGGAAGTATAAAAAGCTTCAGCATATAATGAGCAATAGAGTTTTCGCCAGAATATAAAATCCTGATTCAATCATCAATAATGTAATAGACAATTAATTTTAAAAAGAGCTATTTGAAACTTCGAGTTTGGATGAATCACAGTTACTGTACAAAGTCAGACTATAAAATCAAATTTTAACGAGAGAAAATACTCTTCAAGAGTAAAATAGGTACAATAGCAGACAAACTTAATAATCTATAATTCATAGAAGCAACTAATCCAGAAGCTCGAGTAGAATCAATAAAAAGACTTTCAAAGAAGGAGCAACATCTAATGAAAGTACATAGCTAGAGATTGAAGAGCAAAAGATCAATTCAAAAGTCTTATTCCGTCAAAAGAGCGATTGATAAAATTTCGAATGAATGTTTGTAACCCTCAATTGGCTTAATTAGTATTTTTATAAGTGATTAAAATCATTAATTTCATAATGAATGAATAATTTTTAATAATCAACACTTAATTATCAAATTTAAATCAATCAAATGATAAGATTTATCAATCTCAAAATAAATTATCAATTGCGTTTGGTCTCCTCAATATAATCATCATCATCATCTAAAGAAGAAGAATCATCCTCATCTGAAATTGCTTTTGACTTCTTAGTTTATTTTGCTGCTCTTTTTGGTGCAGGAGCTCTGCGCTTTTTCCCAGATTCTATTTCCACATCTACAATCTTTTATAAAGAAGGCTTGGTCTTTTTATTAGCGATTGTTAAAGCCTAATCTGCAGATACTGAAGGTTTTATCATCTCCACTACATGCACTGCATCTCCTTATTTCTTAGCATTCTCTTTTTACTTTCTCTTGGCTCCACCAGTAGCACTTGATGAACTTGGGGTTACTTCCTTCTTTGATTTGTCTAATTCTGTAATCTTACTAACAGTCTCTTTTAAGAAGGCAAACTTTTCATTGCTCTCGATTACCTCTTTTCTATTGATGATATATTGATATGAAATAGATATTACATATGTGAAGGAGTAATTTTATTGTCCTTGCATTTTTAAGTGCACTCAACAGATAGCTTTGTTATATCTTCTATAAAAAACTCCAAAGCCTTTGCAATGAAAATGGGGGTAGTACTCTATATTTTTCCTATCTCCTTATTAGTCTGCATTATTTTCTTAATACGATTCTATAATTATTGGTTTTAACAAGGACTAATAAATCCATACTAATGGTAGTTTAGTTTCTTGATTCTTTCTCTTCATTTTCTTCTTGATATTTATTATTTATTGAAAATATTTATACAATTTTCCTTAAATATTAGGGAATTTTAATGGCGGGGTTTTGGGGTTTTGGGG